TAACTCGGCAAGTTTCCTGGAATATTTGAGACTCAAAATTCCTTCCTTGATCGCTGTGAATCTCTAAAGGTACTCCAAAACGACAGAAGACTTCATGAACTAGTTTATCTGCAACTGTTGAAGCTTCTTGATTTGGAATGGCGAAAACTTCTGGCCATTTTGTGAAGTAATCCATCACAACCATGAAATACTTGTTACCGCTTTCACTCTCCGGAAACGGCCCCGCCACGTCAATGGCTATTCTCTCCCATGGTGCACCAACATTGTACAACTTCAATGCACCTCTACTACGAGTCTGAGGTCCCTTTACAGCCGCACAACTTGTATATTTGCGACACCAGTCCTCGACATCGTTTCGACAGTGGACCCAATAAAACCGTTCTCGGATCTTCAGTAGAGTTCGTTTAACTCCCAGATGGCCTCCTGAACAATCATTATGGTACAGCTGTAGAACATCCGGTACTTTAGCTTTAGGGACAACCATTTGCAAATGACAGCTGTCTCCCCGAACGTTTTCCCATTTACGACACAGAACTCCATCCTGAAGCAGCAAGCTGTCCCACTGGGCCCAATAGCTTTTAGTGGTCGAACTCATCGCTGAGACGTCACTCCACTTGGGCTTGGGAGCACTGGCCTTTATCCATTCCAGAATCGGCTTGATGTCCGGATCTTCCTGCTGTGCATGTAGTAAGCTGTCCTTCCACTCGTTGCTGAGGTGGTCTGTCCTGAGCATCCTCACGGATACCACTTCCTTACTCTCTTGCCTAGTACAATGTTTGCAATCTTCAGGACAAGGTCTTCTTGACAATGCATCTGCGTTGCCATGAGATTTCCCGCTGCGATGTTCGATCTCAAAGTCGTATTCCTGCAGTAGTTCAATCCACCTCGCAACTTGTCCTTCTGGGTTTTTAAACTGCAATAGCCATTTTAGTGCAGCATGGTCAGTTCGTAAGTGAAATTTTCGTCCCAGAAGATATTTGCTAAAATGTTGCAACGACTTTACCACAGCTAGCAATTCGCGTCTTGTGACACAGTAGTTCCTTTCCGGTTTTGACAACGACTTGCTGAAGTACGCTATCACGACCTCTTGGTCACCACTACGTTGAGACAACACACCGCCAAGTCCTATATCACTTGCGTCTGTGTCAACTATAAATTCTTTGCTTGCATCAGGGTATCCCAAAATAGGTGTTTTGCACAGACGGTCCTTGAGCTCCTGGAATGCGATATTACAACTTTCATCCCAGCAGAAATGTCGCTTCTCCTCGGTTAGCTTATGTAGAGGTTTGGCTATATCTGCAAAGTTCTTCGCAAAACGTCGGTAATAGGAGCACAAACCCAAATATGCTCTAACCTGCGTCTTGTCTTTCGGAACCGGCCAATCCTTTACAGCTGCGATTTTCTCTGGATCCGTGCGGATACCTTCTTCCGACACTACATACCCCAAAAAGTTGACTTGCCGTTTGAATAGTGAACATTTCTTCGGACTCAACTTGAGGTTGGCACTCTTAATCTTCATGAGCACGCGTTCCAAGTTTTGAAGGTGTTCCTCAAACGTACGGCCCACGATGATGACGACATCCAAGTAGACCAGACAGACATCGCCAATTAGCCCGGTAAGTACAAGTTCCATCAGCCTTTCAAACGTTGCTGGAGCATTGCACAACCCAAACGGCATTACTTTAAATTGCCACAGACCCTTTCCCGTCGAGAACGCAGTTTTCTCCTTGTCCTTAGGGTCAATTTCAACTTGCCAGTAGCCACTTTTTAGGTCCAGCGTGCTAAACCACTTTACTCCTGTAAGCATGTCCAGCGTGTCGTCAATTCTTGGCAAGGGATAGCTATCCTTCTTAGTAACGTCGTTCAGACGGCGATAGTCAACACAAAACCGCAAGCTGCCATCCTTCTTCTTTACCAGTACCACGGGTGAACACCATGGACTAGATGAAAGTTCAATAACACCATCCTTCACCATTCCCTTAATCATGGTTTCCACTTCCTTTTCACGTGCTACCGGCGATCCTCTTGGCCGCTGACGGATAGGCAACTCTTCACCTGTGTTTATTTTGTGTTGAACTAAACCAGTCTTTCCTATGTCAGCATCGTTTGATGAGAATACATCAGCGTACTCGAGTAACAACTTCTTTGCCTTGACCAATTCGTTCGGGGACAGAACACTGCGACAGTCTTCCAAAAGTGTGGTCACTCTCGTTTCTGAAGCCTTGCTGGGGGTCCCACTCGATATATATTGGCACTCACAAGTACCAACCAGTGTGCCTTTTCCTATAATCTGTTCCCGGTCGCAAAGGTTCAGCACACGTACTCCTGAGATGTCAGTGGTCCTGACCAAGGTTCGAGCTACTTTCCATGGAAGGTCATTGTTTACCCTTTCCACAAGTACACAACGGTGAGCTTGCCCAGCGTTTCGAGGAAGACTAACCGGAACAATCGTTTCCGATCTCGGCGGAAGAACAATCTTCTTGATGCTGTACACGTTCCCTGGTAACGCACCTTCCATAAAGAGTTCCTCCTGTCCACATTTCAAAACACCTTGCTTAACGTCGATCTCGCAACAATTATTCCTCATAAAGTCTAAGCCTAGGATGCAGTCGTCCATTATATCAGCCACGATGACATTATGCAGGTAGATCACGTTGCCTAGCTTCAACTCCATCTCCTTCTCTCCACGGACGGGTATTCGCTGACCGGTGGCTGTTACAAAATTAATGCGTTCTCGGTTGTATGCGGAGTCCCCAAGGAACTGACTTATAAGTTGGGAACTAACAACCGTACGAGAGGCTCCAGTGTCTATGGTCAGTTTACACGGCATTCCGTTGACCTCGCCCTTGATGATTAGACTGCTCCCATCATGGGTTTGTGAGATCGAGATCCTTGGGGCTCTTTTAACATCAGCCAGCACCCGCCCCGCAGTTCTGGCTTTTACTCGTTTCCCTGCTGCTGCTGGGCGGTGCTGTTGGCCGCACTACCCTCCTGAGATCGTTCACCTTCCCTTTTTAGGGTTCGCTTAGGGCAGCTGGATCGTAGATGGCCCTTTTCCTTACAGCCATAGCACCTAGGGCTGTATCCTTTGTTGCGGTCACGAGCTGTAGCTTAGCGCACGGCTTCTACCTCCAGTGCATGGGCCAAGGCGTCCTTAAGCGTTTCGTGGTGCCCGAGCCTCACAGCAGCTCTGACTTCCAGGTCACGGATGCCGTCGATGAATGTCTGCACCAGGTTCCCTTCAATGAGCGCAGGTACAGACTGGTATGCTTTTCGAACCATCTTCTCCACCTCAAGGGCCCACTGCTGCAGGTTTTCGTTGCTGCGTTGCACGCGATCTTTAAGCTGCGCGCGAAAGACGTGTTCCAGGTGAGCGTCACCATATCTCGCCTCCAATGCCTCAAGGAGCTGCTCGTAGGTCACTTTCTTACCGAGAGCTTCCAACACGGTTAAGGCTTGGTCGCGCAGGCCTAAGGTGAGTGCAGTCATGGCCTGGCTTTTATTCCAGCCGTTTGCCTCCATGACGGCCTCGAACTGGATTTTGTGGGCCGACCAGGAAGAGGTCCCGTCGAACGGCGGTACTTTGAATCCGCGTAGCGAAGGTGCTGTAGCTACTACGGGAGCTGTAGTTCCATCCCCAAGTTTGAGTTCGTCTAGTGATTTCTTCATGTCAGCCATTACGTTGTCAACCCGATTGTTTACTTGGTCGATTCGGGTTTCAGCTTTCTCGATTCGGTTTTCAGCTTTCGCGATTTGGGTTTCAGCTTCCGACAGGCGGTTGTCATGCTGAGCAACCCTATCCTTCACCTCCTTTATCTCCTTCCCGAGGGTAGCGTAAAGGTCCTTCATGAGGAGCATCTGCTCTTCCAGCCGACGGGCCTGTTCCTCTTGTCCGCCCCGCAGCTGCTCTTCCAATCGGCGTGCCTGTTCCGCCTGCTGGCGATCCTGTTCCTCCTGTCGGTGAGCCTGTTCCTCCTGTCGGCGAGCCTGTACCTCCTGCTGCTCTTTTAACCAACGGGCCTGTTCCTCCAGCATCACCATCAGAGCACCTAAGTCAGGTGCTGCAGATGTAGGAGCTACCGACGGGCCTGCCGCTGGTGGCTGGCCCTCCGACGTCTGCGGCGTTGCACCACCAAATCCTCGTTGGTCCGTCTCTTGCTGGCGTTGACTTCGGGTACGGACACCCTCCGTTTCCTCCTTAGGTAAAATCGGCATGATTTTATCCCACTTCTGACACCAATTGTTACGAGCTTGAGGTTCGTGACAATAAAAATTGCCGATAAAATTACCTAAATTAACACTTTAATTTAATTTATACAAATTAAAACTTAAAACACTAATAATTAAACACACTAATTCACTTTATTCCGCTCCGAAGCTTCGCTTGTCTCGCCAAATCAACACTACCCCGATCGCATCTTGCAGCGCCTATTTATTTAAATTAGCAAAGAAATATCCAGAATGTTCAAGTAAACACGCGCAAGGTACCGAGCGTTCGAGTTTCGACTAGGCGATGTCGGTTGAGTGATTTGTGATGTCATTTTCTCAATGCTCCCCTCGCTCTCGTTCCTGACGCTAGATGGCGCTAGTGTATCGTCGACTTGAGCGCGTAACAATATTGTAACCCCGGCGACGTAATGCCATGTTACGCTGAACGCCATTACTTTCACTCATACATATAAATGATTACCGCTTGCTTTACTATTTGGCACACCTCACCGGAAGCGTAGATTTAAAGATAATCTTATCACTTGATTTATATAATGTGATAATGTGTGTGAATCAACAAACCTTATAACACTAAGTGACACAACGATACAACAAGCAACAAATTATACAATACACAATACTGGAAACAGTATGTCAAGATCTCACAATAGACCAAAATATTTTATGCACTACACCGGTCGATAATAATAATTCAAATATTTTGATTTTACTATGTGAAAAAATTGCCGTCAAATCTAATGGTTGCAATAATACCATAACTTTACCTGCAGATTTCTTAGTTAAAAGCCAATCTACAACGACAGAAAATGTTGACGTTGAATTTAATTGCACTGACTGCAACCAATCTACAACCACAGAAAATGTTAACATCGAATCTAATGACTGCAACCAAGCTTCAACGACAAAAAATTTTCCATCCGTATCTGATGAACCATCAATCACCAAAGAACTAACTAAAAAAAGGCAATACGAAGAAAATTGGGCAAAAGTTACGAATAAAAAACAGGAAAATTCAGGCTAAGCTTATACTGGTAGTAATTCGAAAAAAAAAAGTTTGAATCCAAATGAGTGACACCTGTAAATTTAATAAGAATAAAATAAGAATAAATAAAATGTAATAAGAAATACTGTGATAAGATTTCTCAAGTCTCTCGGCAGGCTTCATTCGATGAATTTTGAAAACTTAGTGATCACGAGGATCAGTGGCACTATATCTTACGCCATGTAAATACTAAAGATATTAAAAAAATGCAACTAGTAAGAACAAAAAACAGAACACAAACTATTAGCTATTTTTTCAAGATAAATGGATCAGAATCAAAAGACGTATGCAAAAAAAAATTATTTGAGTACACTTAGCATATCGAAAAAACTGTTTTCAGAGCAATAGAGAAAGAGAACTCATAAGAAGTGAAATATAACAGAGGCTAGCTTTAAAATAGGCCACGAAAAATGAGAGTTTCAACCAAGCAGTGTCATTGCAACATATAAAACTATTTCCAGTTAAAGAATCACATTATATGCGAAGAGGTACTAAGAAGTTATATATAGAAGAAACACTGAACATTTCCAAAATGTACAGGCTGTATGATCTGTATGTCTGATGAATGATTTTAGAGAGAAAATTATGTAAATGATAATTTTCTCTCTTAAACCATTCATCATTCACAAAACGACAGTATGCAACTATGTTTAATACACAATTTAATTGTTCTTTTCATAAACCTAAAAAGTTATGTGAGGCCAATATACTTTGTATCGTCAAACTGATGGTGAAAGAAAAGATCAACTCCAAGAAGCTTACACAAAGCACATTAGAAAAAAGCAATGTGTTCGTAAACTCAAAACTAAAGATAAAATAGAAGTCGATCCTACGACTACTGTCGTCGCTGTATATGATCTGGAAAAGTTCTGACTATTCTTCAATCAGACGTATAAATCTTTCATTAGAAAAAAAAAGTATCCTATATAGAACTTTACAATTTACAACTCATTAAGTGAAAGAGTTACCGCTATCTATGGCACTATCAAGTGGCCAAAAGGGGTGCTAATGAAATCGGCAGTTGGATCCTAAATTTTATTGAAACTGAGAGCTAACGTGGTATCAATAATTTCATATTTTATTCTAATGGTTGTGCTGGTCAGAATAAAAATAGGATTATCTTTGCTTTTTATCTATATGTAGCGGCGCTGTCGTCGCGCCACAAACGAAATAAACCGAAGCTTAAATCACGCTATCAACATTCCGAATCAGAAACAGTATATATAGAACATCTCCGAACTATCACTCGGAGTGTTGGCCGCTCCCCGGGCAGAACACCTTGCCCGGCGGGAGATCTCCCCTTTTCCTACCACGGCCACAGTGGTGACCCCGACGTGATCTGAACATGCAACCAACAACCTTCGGAAACTTCAAGCTTTCATCATCGTCATAGAATACCCCACCCATTCGCTCCCGAGCAGATATAAACTGCAGTCTTCATATCCTGCAAGCCATCTAGCTTCACAAGGTTCATCGCAGCACTGGAATAATAATGCTTCCTGTTCCTTCAAGCTACTCGCGCAGAGGCGCTATACAGTGTTCGGCACGGCTCTGAGCCTTACTGCTCGCCTCTGCTTCACGGCACTCTCGCAGATTACTTGCCTTCTTCTCGACTCACCGCAGACTACAAGGCAATCTCCTTGCACTTGCACATTCGTCGGCAACGAGGCTGCACTATCGACCTCCGGTCTGAGCAGGGGGGTGATGTAGCGGCGCTGTCGTCGCGCCACAAACGAAATAAACCGAAGCTTAAATCACGCTATCAACATTCCGAATCAGAAACAGTATATATAGAACATCTCCGAACTATCACTCGGAGTGTTGGCCGCTCCCCCGGGCAGAACACCTTGCTCGGCGGGAGATCTCCCCTTTTTCCTACCACGGCCACATATATTTGGCCGAAAAGTATGGAGTTAACATAATATACAGGTACTTTGAAAGTGGCCATAGCCAGTCTGGAGGAGATTCGATGCATTCTCTTACTGAACGCGCAAAAAAGAACCACACAGCTTATACTCCTGAACAAATGCATGGCATACTCATGAATGCCAAGATCAATGGTGAACAATTTCATCCTAAAGAAATGGAACAACATAACTTCTTAGATTTAAAGGAGATAATGGACAAAACATGCTGGTTGCAGGCAGATTAAACTAATGAAAAATTCTATGAACAAAGAAAATCAAAATTACTCAAGCCCATCCAGATGTTATTTATTTGAAGTATTACTTTGACGATGAGTATATTTATTTTATTATTTTTCATTTAAATACCGCATCAAATACCAGATCTTCAAGTGAAAGACCAAAAAGACGCCAGTGACTGATGTTTCAGGAGAAGAACTGAGAAATCTGTACAGAGAGCCATTTGCCTTATCAAAACCACTTTATGATGATTTGATGAGTCTCTGCAAAACTGAAGCAATCCCGATACATTATCATACAATTTATAACAATTTGCATTGTGTTAGGAACTTTGAAGAAGAAATCGATAAATATTGAAAATGAAGATTCAAATTAAAGTGGCATAATATTTTTTTCCATATTAAGATTTTGACGACTTTATTTTTGTTTCTAAAGTATTAAACTTTCAATAAAAAATATATGATTTTATTCAAATTAAGGTAGTATAGTATTATTTTTCTTTTTTAAGGGATTGATCGTTTTAGTTTTGTTTCTAAAGATTAATAGTTAATAAAAATTATATGATTTTGTTCAAATTAAGTTAGCATAGTATTTTTTAATTTTTTAAGAGATTGACCGTTTTATTTTCGTTTCCAAAGTTTAATAGTTAATAAAAATTATATGATATTATTCAAATTAAACTAGTACAGTTTTTTTTCTTTTTTAAGGAATTGACCGTTTTATTTTGTTTCCCAAGTTTAATACTCATGAAAAAAATGTGATTTTAAAGGGTTTTTTTATTTATACGAAATAATAATCATTTAACATTTAATTACACGAGAATTAGGTAGTAGTAACATTAAAAAAGTGTTTAATTTCATAAATTACTGTCTAAATTGGTTAAAAATAAAACTTAATTACACTATAAGGGCGTTCTGTAAAAATGGTTATATAAAAATATGTTTCATGGATACAATTCTAAAATAGCGATTAGTGGATGATACAGCTAAGCTCTAAATTTCCTTGAAGAAGGTGGTAATCAGCTGGTACGCTCGAGATCTAAAGTGTAAATCACGTCGTATTATATTCTTACATTCCCGAATCTACGTGGTCGGTGTGGTATGAAATGGTTTGATCTATAATTTGTATTATGTACTTTTTCAATTATTTCATTAAATATTTATACCATTGCAAGTATTTTTAAAAGGTTAAATTGGTAAAAAATTAGCTTTTATTTGACATATCTAACGCCTCTTTGAGATCACTGTACGCTGAACTATAAACAAATTAACTTCTTTTATTTCTCATGTAAAATTTGATTTTCAATATTACCGCTTTATTGCCCGGGGCCATCAATATACATGTGATACCTAATCACTATAATTTTTCAATAAAGTTTATAGATTAAATTTTCTGGCTACCTATTATTACTACTATATACACTTAGACTTTGTGTTAAAAGTAAAAAAAAACATCATAATCATAATCATAAAAAATTAGGATAGAAACCACAGTAAGTTTTAGTAATATTCTTTCGGGACAGTCAGTTATACATACATCACTAAAGATATTTGGAGGACAATGCAACTCCACGAAAAGAAAATATTTAAATAACAATAGCACTGGTAAGTATGATTCTTTGAAAAGGTTTAATTAAATATCTTAGTATGAGGTGACTCAAAAAAAAAAAAAAAAAGAGGCCACAGATGACAGCACTGAAGAAGAAGAAGATATAAGCTCGAAACGTCACAATCACGCTTAGGCTACAATAACTGTTTCGTGAGATTTTATTTAACCAAATGGGATGTCATGTAATAAATCGTGTGTAAAATATATATTTGAAATATATAATATTTGATATCAGATTTTGTAGGAAATTTGAGTTGCTGAAAATACCAAACGGCAATTGTTTTTTTTATAGGATAGTGTGACTAACGAGCACACAGTCCACCTGATGATAAGTGATTGCTGCGGCTCATAGACATCTACATCTATCCTCAATTACAAATCAAAATGCCGATGTGTTGTCTGTTACCCGTGAGGACTAAGATGAAATGCCTCGTTTCCAATAAAAAGGGTCTCCGGTTTTCTACACTCACCATACGAAACACAGCAGCATTAAGCTATTATTTTACGCTGGTATACAGCGAGAGCGTGGTCCTTCACCGGTCAAGCCAGCCCATTCATGCTACAACTATACTACAAATACAACTGCAGCATGGCTCTACGTCGTATAAAAAATTTTTACAAAATAAGTATTTTTCCTAGGTTAATAATTTTTTTAAAATTAATCTTTAATATAACGTGATTTGAAAATTTTAGGCAAACAAAAGTTGGCAAATTTCTACTAAATAGTTTACTGATAACTATAACATAAAATTTTAATAATTTTTATTATTCTGTGAATACTGTTTTATTTATTAAACGAAGTAACTAATAACATTTTTAACAAATTATATCAGGATATATATCAGGTTTTTGTCGATGCCCCTTTAGGATTGTCAGACCATTGTCTTGTCCGGTGTGTGGTGCCAGTCACATTGACCTCTCGGTTGCATTCTGCATGCTACCGCCGTGTTTGTCACTATAGGCCGGCCGATTGGGAAAAAATGCGGTCTTTTTATGCATCCTACCCTTGGGGGCAGGTTTGCCTCTCGCAAAACGATTCCAGCGTTATTGTTGATTCTTGCGCTGATATAGTACTTCAGGATATGGAACTTTTTATTCCGTCCTCTGTGGTGCTCATCGGAGGCAGATCTCAGCCATGGTTTGGTCGCTCCTGTAAAATATCATCACGCCATAAGCAGGTGTGCTACCAGGCTGTGCTGACGCATCAAAGTCTCGGAATGTAAACAC